TCCATGTGTTTCTTCTTCTCCCTTTCTCTGCCTGAGAATATTTAACGCACCATTTTCAAATTTACACCGAGCCAGTACATTTAATATATAAATAGCCTCGAATTAAAGACTAAGTTACTCCCGTTATTTATAGTAACTACGTAGATCTTTCTACGTCTACTGAAGTACTATTCAATTCATAAATTTAACTTCGTATTATACAAAATTATAATATAGTTACAAAAATATAAATAGATAATTCCGAAAAAATATTTATTTTTTTAAACGATTCTCTGTTAAGCTCGTTAAGTCGCAAAAGCAGACGACGTCGTCGTCGTCGTCGTTGGGCTTGAGTTACACAGACTATTGCGCTCCGTCGTGGTGAGAAATGGCGAAAGTAATGTTTTCCTCAGTAATTATAGATTTGCTTGTAAGCGGTGAAAAAGGTGATCATACTTTGCATACAAATCTCGGTGGGCGAGAATTTAAGGCAATCGCTTATCTTGAATATTTTGTGACGTGCGATATTGTTATTGTCTAGAATTTTTTTTCTAACGGGTTCAAATCAATGACAGTTATTTAACCGATGTATCGTCGTATCCTGTTCTGTCAGGCAGAAGGTGCAGCGATCAGTATTTTTTAAGTTACGTTAATAGAGGAAGGAGTTAGTGATGAGGAAATTAGTCCTGGCTCGATGTATCAGGATAGTAGTGTGACGATCCGTATAGTTTATGATTAGGATGTGTTTGCCGGTGGTGAGCAATTGGTAGTCTGTGTGGTCAGGAAAGTTGTACCATTCGTTGTCCATTTGCTGTTTGTTTTCGGTGTTTATAATGCTGATGTAATCCTCCGGAGTAATGTAATGAGTTTTCTTGGTGTCGTACGGCTGACTCTTTGCAAGTTTGTCCGCTTGTTCGTTTATGGTTATCCCTTTATGGGCTGGGGTCCAGACGAGGAGCGTCTGTAAGTTGTCTTTATTACGTCTGTAATTGAGGCTAATGATGTTGTGGATGATAGAAGGAAACTTATCGTGATGGGCGTTGGTGGTGGTGAGGATAGCTTTGGAGTCCGTGCACAAAGTGATGTTACTATTAGTCTCTGTAGCATGTTGTAATGCGCTGAGGATGGCGAAATCCTCCGCCGTAAAGGTGGTGGTCTCGGGGTGTAGAGTGTAATGAGCTTTGGTGGGAGGATGTCAACCATATTCTTGGTGGGAAGAGTCCCACGTCGCTTGGGGTGCGATGTCGGTAATGATTAGAGTTAAATCGATGGCGGTCCCTGGACCGTTGACATTTATATGCGTGAGTTGGCCATTATTGAGCAGATATAAGTGGAAGTGGTCGATAGGGTCGGCTAAGATACGACCCCGTTTGTCAGTAAAGTGATTACCCAACATCTTGTGGTGGGCGTTGAAATCCTCATCCAGAATGGTGGACTGGTCCGGAAGGTGACGGAAGAGATCGTTAAATACAGTAGTTCAGGCGGAGATTATAGGGGAGAAATAGGCGTTAATAACCTGAATGACTTTTGGTACATAAACTTTAACACTGGGCCATTCAGGATCGCCCTGACCATTTGACAACTGGGAACCTGTGTAAGAGCACGGAATAAAATGGTGAATGTAAGTCGTAAGGCCACTTCCTATAGTGCCGGTGCGGTGGGTATAATAAGCAGTGTACCCCGGAAGGTTTGTGTCGTTATTATGTTAGAACCAAGTTTCTTGGATTAGTATGATTCGATAGTTATCCCATATACGGTCGGAGCTTAATTGTATCATTTTATTACGGAGACTATTGGCGTTCCATTGTAAAATATTTAAGAACGTTGCGAGCGAGTATGGATTGCGGGCTTGTGTGGGGTTATTGATGCTGAATTGTTGCTACTCTTCCCGTTCTTATTCTTGGGCTTTTTGTTGATTTTAATAGAGTTGTCGGCTGAGTGATCGAGTGATATCGCTCGATCGTGGCGTTTTGAGACTGCCATAGCTACTGAGAGATCTTCGACATTGCTCCCAGTCTCGTTGGGTGTCGATTGTGGTTGCGGATTGGAATGTAGTTGCTTCGGCTCCGTTTGCTCGTTGGTAGCGAGTGCTTCATGTCTCGGATCAGAGGGGGTCTCACGTGTAGTCTTGATGTGTTGTTGGATAATACTAGAGGTGGTGTTAACATTTTGTTGAGTAAGAGAAGCGATGAGTTTACTTTCTTCAAGGATTTGTAGTAGCTTGGCGAGAATGTTATTTTGGTTGGTTATGGCTTGTTTTATGGTGATGAGCTGTTCCCACGGGTCGTCGGTTGAGGCACGTTGGATTGCAGCTTGATTGGGCCGATCGTGGGTTTGATTCTGTTGTGTCACTGTGCTGTAGGAACGATTATTGTCAGATGGGGAGTGTATGGCTGCCCGGGCGTCATTGCGCGAACAGTTGTACTGCCGTTTATGTTTCAGTATGGTTTTTTCATATTGAATTCTGGGGCATAGGGGTGAAATGAATGCGTGATCGCAATTGCAGTTTATGCAGCGAGTAACCTATTTATACATTTTTTATTAAATATATTTTAAAATATCGATTATGAGTTTAAGCGAACTTTACCAAAATGAACAAATATAGTTATCGCCAAAGAAACGATGTCACTTCCGTTAACCTGTGGCCGCCAGCGCATGACTTCCGAACACTGTCTGGCAACACTTGACAACAAGAGTAGCTGGCCAAGGTCTACATAATACAAGGATAGCCAGATCCCTATTCTACAATGTTAGCCAGGAATGGCAAGTTAGTGACGTCAGCACGAGTCCTGACGTCAGCACGAGTCCTGACCTCTCTATTTACATAGAGCAGGGTGTGCACGTGTTTAGTTTTCGCTTTTAATATTCGTCCAATTTTGTGATTAAAGAAGTGATTTATTTTAATATTTCTGTAATTGTTTTATTTGACTAAGTTTTTTATAAGGTAAAATGATTTAAATATAAGTCATTAAATATTTAAAGCTATATTTTTATGTTAGGTAAAGAACAAAATGCTGAGTACTAGGTGTGCTGTGTATTGTTGCAATAATAAATTTTTTTTCTCAAATTGGAAGCAACCTGTTTACATCGGGTTTGATCAAAAAATGACAAGAGAAATACTTCTGAAATTAATAGCAGAACTTTATTTACTATGGTATAATGTAGTATCTTGCGTCAGTGACTGTAATTGCAGTAACATAAGTTTATGAAAAGAATTGAATGTGAATATCAATGAAATGTTTATTATGAATCAATTATTATTATCAATCAAACGTATATTACAGATATAAATATGTGGTTCGACATTTTTAATAGCTATGCACCAAAAGGTTCTGTTCCAAGCAAAAATGGATATGGTGTAGACTTGGAATTACAAGAAGAACATTTAAATAATATGATAAAAATAATCTCAACAATGAGTGCAAGTGGAAAAATGTCTTCCAAATTTTCCAGAAAAGAATGATAATCTCAATGAAATCGCTAATTGATCTTTTTCGAGATATGAATTTGACTTTTGATATAAAATACATCTGCACTTACAATTTAAATCAAGATTGTCTGGAAAACTATTTTTTCGAATTAGAAGCCGGGGTCCTAATCAACATCCAAGCCCATTAAATGCTATATATAGGATTAGATTGATTATTTTAGGTAAGAATCCTGGTATTTTAGAGTCAAAAGTAAATATACTACAGATCGAAGACAAGAGAAATATACAGTATTATACCTATAGTTTTAGAGAAAGCACATGTAAAAGTATCAAGTGAAAATACAGACCAATATACTGAATGTAAAACTACTTTTTCTTCAAATAAAATTTCAGGAAACTTTACATGCAATCCAGACTTTAACACAACTTTTGAAGAAACTTCCTACGATGCTCTCGAGTATATAGCAAGATATTTTGCCTATAAATATAAAGAAAAATATCCAAACTTAATTAATTCCACTAACAAAATTAAAAATCATTACAACTGTAGCATTCCGTCATGGGTGCAACATTTATTTTATGGATGGCTTATTAAACCTACTGATGAATGGCTAGCAAAAATTATAGAATGGAATAAATATTTCGAAATATATCACGATAAATCGTATAAAAAAGACCCCGGAGTTGTACAAAATTAGTCAGTAGAAACAGTTTTACCTTTTACTTTAATAAAAGATTTTTGTAAATTAAAAACTATAATAAGAATTAATTATAGAAATCTTAAACAAGAAAACTATAAAATATTGAAAAGAATGCCTTCTGAAAATGGTGATTGTCGAAAAAAAATTAAAATCAAAAATTAAAAGATAATCAGATAATAAAAAATATAGCTCATTAATTTGTTAAATAAATATTAGACAAAAGACTTGTAAGTTTATTGACGTACAGTACACTTATTAGATTCGAAAATTTTACAGTAGTTTACGTTTAGTAGTAATTTAATAATTAATTAAATGATTTAATATTTTATCGTATTTTGTTATTTGAAAGATCTGTCATGTTGAAGTAGAGGGCTTGCTGTGACGTCACATAGATTCAAGGTCACGCTAACAAATATACGGGATCTGGCTAACCTTGTAGTTTAAAGTTTTTGGTAGCTGGCAACGTCAAAAATAAAAAGCGCGCGAAAAGTTTGTTGGATTCGCCCGGGTGTTGCCCGAAATTGTCAGTGACAGTTCTGACCTTTTTAATAAAGTTTTTTTGTTACTGTTCGTGTTTGACTGCTTAATGTTAATTCCAAACACCAGTAGGATCGAATGACAAAGTGGTGATTTGAACGTGATCCAATTAATAAACTACCTGGACTTTGACTGAATTAGATAGCGAACAACTCTGTGTCTATGATGGAACTTTTTTAACAGGACATGCAGGTATGATCAGTTTCTAAATCGTAAATTCAATAAAAAGACTAGGAGTACGTGACTCGTGCTAAACCTTTTCCAAGACTATCCCGCTTTCCTTGTAGCCGCATAGTTAAGCGCCCGGAACGGCAGAACAAAACGAGTTGGGAATCGGACGTGTACATGCAAAAATGCCTATCTTCACTAAAACCAACACTAAATTATTTTTTGTGCAGCTAGACGCGGCTTTTGCCATTAATCGGATTACAAGTGAGAACACTAAGTACACCTATTTAATTAATTGCTTGGACGCGGAGATTTTGTCTAATGTTAGTGACTTGGTATTTGACCGTCCAGCCGAGGCTCCGTTTTCTAAACTTAAAGATCGACTCCTCGAAATTTTCCAGAACTCTGCTGCTAAAAAGGCTAAAATTTTGCTTGAAGATCTGGCGTTAGGGAATCAAAAACCCAGCGCTTTACTCCGTAAAATGAGAGAGCTTTCAGCAAGCAAAATTACCGAAAAATTTCTTAGAAACTTGTGGCTCCAACGTCTCCCTAAAAATATTCAGACCGTTTTGGCTGTTAGCGGTGATGAAATAAACAAGCTAGCCATCCTTGCTGACAAGGTTGCTGAACTTACAGAACCAACCCAACTGGCCAGCATCAACTTAGAAGCCGAAAATCCCGTAATCAAACATCTTGAACTGCAGATTTTAGAACTCACAAAGAAGGTTACAGAACTTAATGTATCGCGTACTGCTCGTCCCCGTTATCGTAGTAGAGAGAAAAACCGACATGACCCGAATTCGAAACACCGCATTAGTTTACGCTCTCGAGAAAAAAGCCTCAGTCGTCAGGGATATTGTTACTACCACAATAAGTTTGGATCAGCTGCTTGGAAATGTCGTTCGCCGTGTTCCTTTGATCGAACTGCTGATCAGAGAAACGACAGCAGCCAGCCAAAGTAACGGCTTGTGGATCCAGCCTGGCTCCTAAATATAGCCGTTTGTTTGTGTATGACAACAAAACTGGCCTAAATTTCTTAATTGATTCTGGAGCAGATTTATCGATCATTCCCAATTGCACTAAGAATCACCTTACAAAGGTTTAATTGTATGCTGCCAACGACTCTAAAATCTCGACGTATGGAAGTAAGGTGCTAAAACTTGATCTCAACTTAAAACGTTTTTTCAGATGGGAATTCACCATAGCTGATGTGCAGAAGCCTATAATCGGTGCAAACTTTTTGGTTAACTTTAGACTTATTCTTGACATCAGAAACAGATTACTTGTTGACCTTCTGACTTCCCTTACTACACGAGGAAGATATTATACAGGACCACCTACTTCAGTCAAAACTATAATCAGCAATTCTCCAATGCAAGATATCCTCAAGGACTTTTCACATCTCACTCGTCCTCGACCGTTTTCAGATAAGGTCAGGCACAATACAGTGCATTATATCGAAACACACTGTCTACCTGTATTTGTTAAACTTCGTAGATTGCACCTGGCTCAACTGCAAGTAGCAAAGCAAGAATTCCAGCACATGATGGAGCTAGGTATATGCAGACCATCAAAGTCAAACTGGGCTTCTCGTCTCCATATGATGCCGAATTGCCATAACGATTGGAGACCTACTGGAGACTATCGTGCCCTGAACAGGATAACTGTTCACGATCACTATCCAGTGCCACACATCCACGATTTTGGTCAAAATCTACACGGAGCCCGAATATTTTTCAAGATCGATTTGCTTAAAGGCTTACACAATATACCAGTTATCCCAGATGATGTGCCAAAGACAGCTATTACGACGCCATTTGTGTTATTTGAATTCGTTTTTCTCCCTTTTGGTCTTTGCAATGCAGCCCAATCATTTCAACGATTCATGCATGAAGTCCTGCAAGGCTTAAACTTCTGCTTTTCATACCTAGATGACATCCTCATCGCTAGCACTTCGTGGGAGGAACATAAGATGCACATGCAGCAAGTGTTTCAACGCCTAGACAAGTACGGTCTGCAAATCAATGCATCCAAGTGTAGTACTTTTGCTGCCTCACATGTATCATTCTTAGGATACATGGTGTCTCCCCACGGCATTATGCCACTTCCGGAACGTGTATCTGCCGTAACTCAACAAAAGCAATTACAAACCCTCAAACAACTGAAAAGGTTCTTAGGCATTTTGAACTTATATCGTAGGTTCATACCCTATGCGGCCCATCACCAAGCTCTTTTGCACGACCACTTAAAGTAGCAAAGAAAAACGATCAACGTGAGATTAAATAAACTGACAATTCGATTTAGGCATTTGAGTCATGTAAATCACAATTAGCAGAAGCCACCTTACTACACCATCCTTCACCAAGTGCTACCCTTGCACTTCACGTCGATGCATCTGATTCTGCTGTTGGCGCTGTCCTTTATCAAGTTACAGCAAAAGGTTTCCAGCCACTGGCGTTTTTTTCTCGCAAGCTGAGTAACTCTCAGCGTCAGTATTCTGCATACGACCGAGAACTTCTGGCTGTGCATTTGGCTGTGAAACATTTTCGGTTTATGCTGGAAGCACGACAGTTCATCATTTACACGAACAATAAATCATTAACGTTTGCCTTCCAGCAACGACACGACAAGTGTACACCTCGTCAGTTGAGACATCTCGACTTAATAGGACAATTCTCGACAGACATCAAAAACATAAAGGGAATCGATAATGTTTTAGCTGACGCTCTCTTCCGTATTGCTTCAATCAGTAGCCCATCTATAGATTATAGCAAAATTGCAAAAGACAAACAGTAAGATCTTGAGCTTCAGTCTGTCCTGACTTCAAGTTACTCATCACTTGTACTTAAGAAGTTTAAACTTCCTCATAGTGATGTCGAAATTTACTGTGATGTATCGACAGATCGCATTCGTCCATACATTCCGCCTAGTTATCAATCAAAAAATCAATCAGTCATTTATTTAGAGGTACAAAAGTACATAACCTGATTCTGCTTGATGCATTATCAAAAATATATATAATAGTACAAGAACAAATTATAATTGAACATAAGATAACAAACAGTATAAAATACAATTAAAAACAAAGTAGTATTGTTCACATATGATATCAAATATATAGGTTAAAGTAAAATAAAAATATATTAAACCGTTAAACTAGATATGATAAATTGAACTTAACAACTAAGGTCGAGCAGATGTCTGCTGTACAATTGAACTCTTGTATTACAATACAGTTTATTAAGAAGATGTTATCCTTAATAAGAAGTTCATGTAAATGCAATAACAATGCTCAAGTAATCAATTAATTTGCTGCAAGCAATCTATAGTTAATTATTGCAGCAAAATGCAGCAAACTCTGTCGTAGTTCCGAATGTTGAACTTTAGCTGAATAGTAGAGTTGCTATATATTCTGTCGAAAACTCTATATATTTCATATGTTTTGTTGAAATACGCTCCTCTTCCTGAAACACCGTGTTTCCTGAAAAAAGCATATGAAAGCAGCACATGTATGCTTCAGTACAAAACACAGACATATCGCATAAATTTTGTAAAATAGCACTTTCAAAGCTCATCTCTGTCGAAACATAACTTTAAGATAAAACTAATAATAAAACATATAAAAATGCTTACCTAACAATTTTCATAATAAAACTATTTAGCAAACATATATATTCTCCATTGATCCTGCCATTGTTCGAAGAACCATTAGAAGGCTTCTTTTGGAATATTCAGAAGTTTGATCATCACATTCAATTTTATATTATTCGTGGTTGTGAAACATGTTCTCTTACTAGTTTCTATGTGCAATTTGTGAATAGTTATAAGATGCAGTTTAGCATTAATAGTGCAATGAGTGGCAGGTATAATAAGTTCTGCATCACTACAATACACTGAGACACTCATCACCTGTTCTGTAGCAATTTCTTGCTAACAAAAAAACTCCTGTAATTGCCCAACGTTCATACTAACCAGATCTCCTTTTCGAGTTATTTTCGAATTTTTCCTATGCTGAAAGTATGACTCAACGAAGCATATTTTGCAACTATGGAAGACATGAAATCAATTGTGACATTCAAAACTCTTAAATATTTCAAAAGAAGTCTACCAGTAGTGCTTCCAGCAGTAGGTATAATCGATAGAGCAAGTGTGTATTTGCTGAAGATCCTACTTTCAATTAGCAAAAAATATAATTATAAAGGACTGAAATAATAAAATTCAATATTAATTTTTTATATTTCTATTACAGGTTTTTGTAAAAATTGCTTGCTGTTGTCCACAAGCATTAGAAAAAGTAATTGAAATGCAGTATTTAGAACAGTTAACATCAGAAATATATAAAGATGACATGTTGCTGTTGCTGAACTGCATAGAATTGTTGACTAATTTAGTGCTGGTTAATCATGGACTCGTATGTTTGGAACAGTATAGCCTCTTGGATAAATTACAAAAGTTGATAACAAGGTATCTTAAACATTTTTAAAGTTCTTTTATACTCCTAGGTTAATCTTAATTTAAGTGATTTAGAGTTCTACAAACGTAAATAATTCTATTATATCAAAACAGTTATTAGTATGCAAATAAATATTTATTTTTGCTATTAAATACTATAAATAAAAGTAAATAAAAATGTCCCACATGCCTAGAAGGGTATAAACAAAAGGATGATTATTTTGATAAAATATCATAGGTTTAACACTAATTTTCTGGCAGCTAATTGATAACCTAGTACCTGTAAAAAGTATAAAAGGCATTTAACATTTATGTAACTTATATTTGTTTGCTTGGTGGTTTTTAGAAATTGCATTATTGGTAAATCGATTTATCAGTTTAATAATAATCAGTTTAAAATGCACTGGTAAATATACCAGCAATTTGATCATTTTTACCAGTAAACTCTGTAGAAATAAGTAAACATGTAATAATGTTTTCTAGCTAAATATTTATTTGTATACATTTTCTAATATATTTGTATTTTTATATATAAAAAACATATAAGCGTCGAATAGTTTTATTTAAATTGTAAAAGTAGCTTGTCATTTATCTTTTAAATTATTACTTTACAGTTTTGTACAAAACTTGATTCAACAAGGCTCTGCAGCTAAGCATGTTGGAACATTGGTAATTAATTTATACCGAATGCAAAAGAATACTGTTTACCAATGTAGTAAGCTTGTGTAAATGACATGTTGGAGTTTTCCCACTTTTATTAGTGTGTTAGTCACTTTATTGTTTACATTTGTAAAATTCAGTTATTGGTTTTTTGTGTGCATTAGTGTGTGTACACATTATTAGAAAAAAATTTGTTCATAGTTTTCATTAAAAAAAAATTGTTTATGTTTTAGAAATTTACAGGTGCAATATTTAAAAATTTTATATAATTTTTACACTTATAGTTCATGATTTGTTTTATATTTACCTGTTTAAATGGTTGTGCTAGATAGTAACTTTGCTTTGAAGCATACACAATGAGCCTGGAACAGATTATTCTAAACACGTATATTTCAATATGTTATAACAAGGTTTTAAAATCAATTACATTCATTCTACATTCCACTGTAGTTGTGTATCTCCACTTACCAGTATTTTGAAAATAAAAAAGGTTGAAGTAAAGCATAGACAAATTTAATTATAGTAACAATAAAGACATAAATCTGTAAAAATTATTTTCATTGTTATACTAACCTACATGTATTAGGGAACATTTTCTATGATAGTTGCATTTATGGTTTTTTCTTTTATACTCTCAACATGCTGTGGGCACCAAAATGGTTTTTGTTCATGCCTGTCAAGTATCCAGCCTGGTTTATATTGGGTCAGCTGGATGACGAGGAATGGGGCATTACATTTATGGGGGGCCCCATCTACTCTTTCCATTATGTGGACCCTAGATAAAAAGGCCCACAGGATAAAAAGTTTAAAAAAAAAACAAAGAAATATTTTTGGAAGGTTTGTTTTAAATATGTCAGCTTGCTCCTCCCTATTGTGTGCCTAATGGGTAATTAAAAAAACCTTCTTAGTT